AAAATACATTTTACATTTACATCATTTAGCAGACGCTCTTATCCAGAGCGACTTACAAATTAGTGAATTCAACTTATGATAGCCAGTGGGACAACCACTTTTTTTTTTTATGGGGGGGTGGGGGAGGGAGGGGTAAAAGGATTACTTTTATACTATTCAAGGTATTCCTTAAAGAGGTAGGGTTTCAGGTGTCTCCGGAAGGTGGTCAGTGACTCCGCTGTCCTGGCGTCGTGGGGGAGCTTGTTCTACCATTGGGGTGCCTGAGCAGCGAATAGCTTTGACTGGGCTGAGCGGGAACTTGCTTCCGTAGAGGTAGGGGGGCTAGCAGGCCATAGGTGGATGAACGTAGTGCCCTCGTTTGGATGTAGGGTCTGATCAGAGCCTGAAGGTAAGGAGGTGCCGTTCCCCTCACAGCTCCGTAGGCAAGCACCATGGTCTTGTAGTAGATGCGAGCCTCAACGGGAAGCCAGTGGAGTGTGCAGAGGAGCGGGGTGACATGAGAGAACTTGGGAAGGTTGAACACCAGACGGGCTGCAGCGTTCTGGATAAGTTGTAGGGGTTTAATGGCACAGGCAGGGAGCCCAGCCAACAGCGAGTTGCAGTAATCCAGAAGGGAGATGACAAGTGCCTGGATTAGGACCTGTGCCGCTTTCTGTGTGAGGTAGGGTTGTACTCTGCGAATGTTGTAGAGCATGAACCTGCAGGATTGGGTCACCGCTTTGATGTTAGCGGAGAATGACAGGGTGTTGTCCAGGGTTATGCCAAGGTTCTTTGCACTCTGGGAGGAGGACACAATGGAGTTGTCAACCATGATGGCTTTTGTATCTCCCGAGTGGCGCAGTTGTCTAAGGCACTGCATCGCAGTGCTAGCTGTGCCACTAGAGATCCTGGTTCGTATCCAGGCTCTGTCGTAGCCGGCCGCGACCGGGAGACCCATGGGGCGGCGCACAATTGGCCAAGCGTCGTCGAGGGAATTGCTGGCAGGGATGTAGCTCAGTTGGTAGAGCATGGCGTTTGCAACGGCAGGGTTGTGGGTTCGATTCCCACGGGGGGGCAGTATGAAAACTAAAAAAAATAATGTATGCACTCACTAACTGTAAGTCGCTCTGGATAAGAGCGTCTGCTAAATGACAAAAAAAAAAAAAAAAAAAAAAAATGCCGAGATCATGGAGCGGGCAGCCCTTCCCCGGGAGGAAGAGCAGCTCCGTCTTGCTGAGGTTCAGCTTGAGGTGGTGATCCGACATCCACACTGATATGTCTGCCAGACATGCAGAGATGTGATTCGTCACCTGGTTATCAGAAGGGGGAAAGGAGAAAATTAATTGTATGTCGTCTGCGTAGCAATGATATTAGAGACCATGTGAGGATATGACAGAGCCAAGTGACTTGGTGTATAGAGAGAATAGGAGAGGGCCTAGAACTGAGCCCTGGGGGACACCAGTGGTGAGAGCACGTTGTGCGGAGACAAATTCTCGCCACACCACCTGGTAGGAGTGACCTGTCAGGTAGGATGCAATCCAAGAGTGAGCAGCGCCGGAGATGCCCAACTCGGAGAGGGTGGAGAGGAGGATCAGATGGTTCACAGTATCAAAGGCAGCAGATAGGTCTAGAAGGATAAGAGCAGAGGAGAGAGAGTTAGCTTTAGCAGTGCGGAGAGCCTCCGTGACACAGAGAAGAGCAGTCTCAGTTGAATGACCAGTCTTGAAACCTGACTGGTTTGGATCAAGAAGGTAATTGTGAGAGAGATAGCAGGAGAGTTGGCTAGAGACGGCACGCACAAGAGTTTTGGAGAGAAAAGAGAGTAGGGATACTGGTCTGTAGTTGTTGACATCGATGGGATCGAGTGTAGGTTTTTTGAGGAGGGGTGCAACTCTCGCTCTCTTGAAGACGGAAGGGACATGGCCAGCGGTCAAGGATGAGTTGATGAGCGAGGTGAGGTAAGGGAGAAGGTCTCCGGAAATGGTCTGGAGAAGAGAGGAGGGGATAGGGTCAAGCAGGGCAGGGCAGGTTGTTGGGCGGCCGGCCGTCACAAGTCGCAAGATTTCATCTGGAGAGAGAGGGGAGAAAGAAGTCAAAGCATAGGGTAGGGCAGTGTGAGCAGGACCAGCGGTGTCATTTGACTTAATAAATGAGTTACTGCACTTTTACTGCAGTTTCAAAACTGCAATCTTTTTTTGTTAGGGGATGAACGACCAGCCTGTTTGGCTAGCAACTATAGAACCTCCGTACTAACGACTGGCTTTTGCCCGGACTATATCGTCTGGTGGAAGGATGAAATAAAATGAATTTACTAATTAAAACAATGTTAATGAAAACAATTCATTAATCATTTTTTTAATATGTTGGCAACCATTTTATAAAAGCATATCGTGGATAACACTATTTTTATTGGCCTTTGGCTTTGCCTTGAACAGCCTGTCGGGAGTTATCATACAATCATTCCTGGGTTTTTATTTAACCTTTATTTAACTAGGCAAGCCAGTTAAGAACAAATTCTTATTTACAATGATGGCCTACCCTGGCCAAACCCTCACGACGCTGGGCCAATTGTGCGCCGCCCTATGGGACTCCTGATCAAGGCTGGTTGTGAAACAGCCTGGGATCGAACCCAGGTCTGTAGTGACGTGTCTAGCACTGCGATGCAGTGCCTTAGACTGCTGCGCCACTCAACGAACCCCAAAAGGTTCTCATGCCTTATTGCTTAATTAATGCTGTGTGTGAGAAAAACGTGAGGTCAGTTAGGCTGCGTAAACACAAGCAGCCCAATTCTGATATTTTTTCCACTAATTGGTCTTTTGACCAATCACATCAGATTTCTTCACAACAGCGTTTTTTCAGAGTTGATCTGATTGGTCAAAAGACCAACTAGTGAAACAAATATCAGAATTGGGCTGCCTGTGTAAATGCAGGCTAACTCATCTTTGGACTGCACTTTCAAAGCACTCCTCACAGCAGGGATAAAGGAAATACAACATCAACAAATGTGCATCGTGTCCTGCTATAAGCGCAGCTGTGTGCTTCTACCTTCTAGTAAAAGTAATAAGGGTTACAGTAGTTTAACTGAATTTATATAAACATTTAAACAAACACACCATACACATGATTTTAGGAGACCTTAAACTAGAATTCTTCAGATTTATTAGTGTATTTTTGGCACAATGATTACAACCTTACAACCGCATAAACAGTACAATTTCCTGCCAGAGTGCTCTGATCTCATCCCAAATTCATGATTAACATTACACCCCCTCCCCTAGCCCTTCGAGTGAACAGAGATGCAAGAGGCCAGGGGTTGTGTCCCAAATTGCACACTTTCCTATATAGTGCACTAGTTTTGACCAGGGCCCATAGGGCTCTGGTCAAAAGTAGTGCACTATATAGAGCATAGGGAGTAATTTGGGCCGCATCCCCAGTACATGCACAACACTACCATAAGTAAATTATCACATCCTGTCTTTCCTGTGTGACCTTCCTGTTCCTTTGGCTAGATTTATCAAAACACTGACCCACCCACTCTTCAGAAATGACAAGCCTGCCATTCATCATGGTGGTTACTTAAGGCCAAGTGCCTGAGTATGTTTTGAATGGCAAAGTACAGTAAGGCATTTAAATAGAAGGGTTACATTCTTAATGTTGTACAAAAACATTTGAAAAGTTTGAACACCTTATATATATTTTATTTTATTTTTTATATATTTTTTTAGGGGGTTGATCAGCTTTAATATTGCAGATAGATTGAACACCTTATTTTAGTATACTGGGACAATGCACTGAGAGTAGAAAAGACAGAAAGGTCAATATACCAACCACACTGACCACTCGAGTATAAAATTATAAAAAGCACAAGTGCATGAAAAATAAACGGCAAGCACAATCTTCTTATAGAACTAATCTAATTGCCTCTTGCCAAGCCGCCATTGTAAATAATAATTTGTTGTTAATTGACTTGCATGGTTAAATAATAAAAAATAAAAATAGTTGTAATCTTATGTAAGGTTGCAAAATTCTGGGAACTTTCAATAAATTCCCTGGTTTTCCATGAATCCTGGATTGAGGAATCCGGATTTCCTGCTTATCCCCTCCTGATTCCTGGAATCCTCCAGCCCGGTGTTTGGGAAAACCAGGGAATTTATAACAATTTCCAGGAATTTTGCAAGCCTAATCTTATGACGTGATTTTAAACATTGTGTAAAAGGCAGCATAGGAAAATTGAATTCAGTCCACATTTCTTGGCATCTCTATAAAAAAAATTGTGTAAGTGCTTGGGAAATTACCTTAAATCAATGTTTCAGCGAAAATACATTTGTACGAAAATACATTTGTCAGACAGTCACTGAGAAATAACTGCAATTGCAAGTCGATCAAATCAAGGCTGCTAGCAATCGGACATGATAAAGATATAGAAAAATAATTCACTTATTTATTTATTCTTGAGCATTAATGATCAAAACACCACTCAGTATGTTGCCATAAGGATCATAGGGACTGTGTCCAGGAATGTGTCCCAAAAAGCACCCCATTCCCTATATAGTGCACAGACCCCACAGGGCTCTGGTCAAAAGTAACACACTATTTAGGGAATAGAGTGCCAGTTGGGACGCAGCCCCAGGAGGAGTCCCCTGAAAAAAAGCCTGTTCTGTTTTGCTGTTTGTTTGGAGGGCCTGTTTTGGCCCTGAAGATCACATCTTGTTGAAACACTCCTTTGCGTTGGTCCACAATTGTATTCCCTGAGAGAGAGAGAGAAAGAGTTTCACTTTTGTTTATTATCTATTTCACTTGCTTTGGCAATGTAAACATACGTTTCCCATGCCAATAAAGCCCTTTGAATTGAAATTGAGAGAGAGCGAGAAAGAGCAAAACAGAGGAAGTTGTATTATGTTTTATGCAGCACAGTAACACAGTATTTTATTATATATTTGGTATTGATAAAAGAACACAAAATATAAACATTTCCGAGCAGAATACTCAATACATTTTAAGTATCTGTGGGGACGTGTCACCTTTTTACACCTGCTGATCTGCATGATTGCATAGCTAATCAGGGCCTCCTTCAGGTCCCGGTCCTTCTGGTCTTTAAAGCGTTCAATGTCTACCCAGGCAGTCTTCACAAACTCACTGCGGAGAGAAAGACTTGCTTTATAACCTTCTCAAATCCTTGAAATTAAAAACAGAAATGGTCAGCTGGTCAACCTCCAAAGCAGCTGATTAAAGCAGCAAATAAATTGATTCAATTATAACATGCTGGACAATCAAAGGAGCCATAGAGAGAGGATGAGAGACAGAAAAAAATGATGTTGGTTTCTCACTCGCTCTCTGTGTTCTTCTCTTTGACAGTCTCCTCTCCCTCCTCTATCTGCTGTGCTAACACTTGTAACTTAGCCTCCCTCTGCTCTGCAGTCTCCTGGCCAAACAGCTTACTGGTCATCCCCTTCAGTGAGAAGGTCCGCACAGTCTGAACACAGGAAAGGAAAGATCAACGTTCCATCTGGCCATTCTGGATAAGCTTCACAGCAACTTTTCTTTGACGAAATGTAATTTATTTATGTGCTTGCTATCTATTGCCTCATATTATTTGCTGGGGAGCTTCATATGTCTCTTTAGAAACTGAGGCTATGCCCAAAATGGCACCCTATGCTCCTACAGGCCCTCATTGAAAGTAGTGCACTATATAGGGAATAGGGTGCCATTTGGGAAGCATCCTGGTTCTTCCGAACTGAGATGGCCTCAACCTTGTGTGTGTGATGACTCACCCCTGTGACCAGTTCCTCTTTCTGCTGTTTCTTAGAGGCTAAGTCCTGTGCAGCCATCTCCAGCTCAAACTGTGTCAACTCATGCTTCCTGCATACTGCCCTGCAGAAACAGAGGCCTGATCATCATGGTTGCTACTGGATGTACTGATGCCTAGCTGCTCATCATGGTTGCTAACTGTACATGTATGATCATTCTGCACCATACACACAGGGTCAGAGGGCTGTTCAATAGATTCAATGAGGGGGCTCAGTGAGTTGGAATTCAGTCTGCCATTGGCAAAAGTCAACAGTGGTCCACACAGGTCTTTGGCTAGGTGACGTGAGGATGTGAAGCTACCGCCATAACAAGTACAACCCAGGACACAATGACAAGTGATTTGGCATAATGATCTTTCTGTATCTTTGTTCCCTCCCCATGGGCCTCCCGAGTGGCGCAGTGGTCTAGAGATCCTGGTTCGAATCCAGGCTCTGTCGTAGCCGGCCGCGACCGGGAGACCCATGGGGCGGCGCACAATTGGCCCAGCGTCGTCCAGGGTAGGGGAGGGAATGACCGGCAGGGGATGTAGCTCAGTTGGTAGAGCATGGCGTTTGCAACGCCAGGGTTGTGGGTTCGATAAAGAAATAATGTATGCACTAACTGTAAGTCGCTCTGGATAAGAGCGTCTGCTAAATGACTAAAATGTAAATGTAAATGTTGTTGACATTAGGGTTTATAGAGTGATATGTACTTGGCCTACAGCAGCAGTCCTGGTGTTCAGTATGTGTACTGTAATACTGTACCTTAGTGCCTCAGTATAGAACAGGTACTCCTTAAGCTGATCAGCATAGTGCTCCTCTTCCTCCAGAATATCATCTACAGAAGCAGCATACCTGTAGACAAGAGGGGAGTCCATATGAATACATTTGCTTTCCTCGATCACACCTTTAAGAGGGATGGGGAAACTACATCAGCTCACTAAAGTAAGACTGAAGCACAGAAGCATCATACCTGCAGGCAAGAGATGGGAGTATGAATACATTTAATTTAATCATTTTACATTTACAGTCATTTAGCAGACGCACTTATCCAGAGCGACTTACAGTTAGTGAATACATTTTTTTGTTTTTATACTGGCCCCCCGTGGGAATCGAACCCACAACCCTGGCGTTGCAAACGCCATGCTCTATCAACTGAGCTACATCCCTGCCGGCCATTCCCTCCCCATACCCTGGACGACGCTGGGCCAATTGTGCGCCGCCCATGAGTCTCCCGGTCGCGGCCGGCTACGACAGAGCCTGGATTCGAACCAGGATCTCTAGTGGCACAGTTAGCACTGCGATGCAGTGCCTTAGACCACTGCGCCACTCGGGAGATTTAGGTGGCTAGGTGACGTGAGGATGTGAAGCTACCGCCATAACAAGTACAACCCAGGACACAATGACAAGTGATTTGGCATAATGATCTTTCTGTATCTTTGTTCCCTCCCCATGGGCCTCCCGAGTGGCGCAGTGGTTAATCCATCAAACCCTGTACAGATGGACAGGGAACCATGAATACCATGCGGCAAGGACACACCCAAAATACATCCATTCCAGTCAGTAGCTAGGTTTCCATCCAATTGGCGACAGATTTCCATACAAATAGTAAAAACTCAGCATAAAAGAAATATGCACATTTTCCCACCAGAGATGTGTTTCCATCAAATTGACTTGTTGCGGATAAAAGGCTGTGCATGATGACGTAGTGCAAATTAAATAACTTTTGCGGTTAAATTCCCACGTACCCAATAGAAAATACAAGTTAAATGGGTTTCCATCGCATTTTCAACTCTACTGATGGTTTTGTCACAACAAATGTTGCGTTATACAGTGCATTCGGAAAGTATTCAGACCTCTTGACATTTTTCACATTTTGTTACGTTACAGCCTTATTCTAAAATTGATTAAATTGTTTTTTTCCCCCCTCATCAATCTACACACAATACCCCATAATGACAAAGCAAAAACAGGTTTATAGGTTTATAGCAAAAAAAAGCAAAAACAGGTTTATAGAAACCCTTTACTCAGTACTTTGTTGAAGCACCTTTGGCAGCGATTATAGCCTCGAGTCTTCTTGGGTATGACGCTACAAGCTTGGAACACCTGTATTTGGGGAGTTTCTCCCATTCTTCTCTGCAGATCCTCTCAAGCTCTGTCAGGTTGATGGGGACCATTGCTGCACAGCTAGTTTCAGGTCTCTCCAGAGATGTTCGATCGGGTTCAAGTCCGGGCTCTGGCTGGGCCACTCAAGGACATTCAGAGACTTGTCCCGAAGCCACTCCTGCGTTGTCTTGTCTGTGTGCTTAGGTTCGTTGTCCTGTTGGAAGGTGAACCTTTGCCCCAGTCTTAAGTCCTGAGCGCTCTGGAGCAGGTTTTCATCAAGGATCTCTCTGTACTTTGCTCCCTTCATCTTTGCCTCGATCCTGACTAGTCTCCCAGTCCCTGCCGCTGAAAAACATCCCCACAGCATGATGCTGCCACCACCATGCTTCACCGTAGGGATGGTGCCAGGTTTCCTCCAGACGTGACAGTCAGGCCAAAGAGTTCAATCTTGGTTTCATCAGACCAGAGAATCTTGTTTCTCATGGTCTGAGAGTCTTTAGGTGCCTTTTTGCAAACTCCAAGCGGGCTGTCATGTGCCTTTTACTGAGGAGTGGCTTCCGTCTGGCCACTCTACCATAAAGGCCTGATTGGTGGAGTGCTGCAGTGATGGTTGTCCTTCTGGAAGGTTCTCCCATCTCCACAGAGGAACTCTAGAACTCTGTCAGAGTGACCATCGGGTTCTAGGTCACCTCCCTGACCAAGGCCATTTTCCCCCAATTGCTCAGTTTGGCCGGGCTGCCAGCTCTAGGAAGAGTCTTGGTGGTTCCAAACTTCTTCCATTTAAGAATGAGGGAGACAACTGTGTTCTTGGGGACCTTAAATGCTGCAGACATTTTTTGGTACCCTTCCCCAGATCTGTGCCTCGACACAATCCTGTCTCGGAGCTCTATGGATAATTCCTTCGACCTCATGGCTTGGTTTTTGCTCTGACATGCACTGTCAACTGTGGGACCTTATATAGACAGGTGTGTGCCTTTCCAAATCATGTCCAATCAATTGAATTTACCACAGGTGGACTCCAATCAAGTTGTAGAAACATCTCAAGCATGATCAATGGAAACAGGATGCACCTGAGCTCAATTTTGAGTTTCATAGCAAAGGGTTTGAATACTTATTTTAAAAAAATTATTTCCGTTTTTATATTTTTTATAAATTAGCAAAAACCTGTTTTCACTTTGTCATTATGGGGTATTGTGTGTAGATTGCTGAGGAATTTATTTTATTTTATCTATTTTAGAATAAGGCTGTAACGTAACAAAATGTGGAAAAGGTCAAGGGGTCTGAATACTTTCCGAAGGCCCTGTATACCAAATATGCCCACTCTGGTCTTGGCACGTGCACTCTAGCCAACAGCTCTTAGATACAGTGCGAGTAGGCTACCTACATGATGAGATTATTATGGATCATTTTTGTTTGTAAAACGGCAGCTAAGCATCGGTCATCATGTCACCAGAATAAGACCCTCGATATTTATTGGAAAGGAGCATCAAGCTCATCACCGTGCACTTTCACCACTCTGTGAAGTTCATCATAACTTATTTAAATCTGTAGCCTAATAAACTGCATGCTTTTCCAATTCATAGTGGAAGGACAACAACATATCATCGCGTGACTCCTAGTTTACTTCGATATGATGGTTTTTATATCAATATTTGCGCATAAAGGGATTTCCACCGCCATTTCTCGCATGATGAATTTTACAGACAAAGAGATCTCACTTGGCTAGCGTATTTTGTTTTGTCGATATTTGGAAAGTTTACTGACAAATGTGCCTTTTTCATCTGGCCTGTCGTGACATTTTTTATCCAACATGTATTTTACTGGCATAAAAAGGTTGGATGGAAACCTGGTTACTGACTTAAAGTTTGACTATAAGCTTATCTTTATTAAGAACCTTTCCTTACATCTGTCAAGTGATAGGGAAAACAACTACATCAGCTTACAGAAATGAGATTGAACCACAGTATCATCATACCTGCAGCTAGGGCTGGGCAATATGGCCAAAATATAATATCACAATATTTTATTTAAAGTTCAAGTTCTAAATATGCTTTATTTTACTTTATTTTTTACATTTAAGTCATTTAGCAGACGCTCTTATCCAGAGCAACTTACAAATTGGTGCATTCAACTTATGATAGCCAGTGGGACAACCACTTTTTTTTTTATGGGGGGGTGGGGGAGGGAGGGGTAGAAGGATTACTTTTATACTATTCCAGGTATTCCTTAAAGAGGTAGGGTTTCAGGTGTCTCCGGAAGGTGGTCAGTGACTCCGCTGTCCTGGCGTCGTGGGGGAGCTTGTTCTACCATTGGGGTGCCAGAGCAGCGAATAGCTTTGACTGGGCTGAGCGGGAACTTGCTTCCGTAGAGGTAGGGGGGCTAGCAGGCCATAGGTGGATGAACGTAGTGCCCTCGTTTGGATGTAGGGTCTGATCAGAGCCTGAAGGTAAGGAGGTGCCGTTCCCCTCACAGCTCCGTAGGCAAGCACCATGGTCTTGTAGTAGATGCGAGCCTCAACGGGAAGCCAGTGGAGTGTGCAGAGGAGCGGGGTGACATGAGAGAACTTGGGAAGGTTGAACAC